GACTGTGATGATTACAAGAACCCCAACAGAAACCTGCAGATTCAGCTCAACACTGATGGACCCATCAAGTACGTGGAGGTCCTGGGAGGAGACATGTTGTCTCAGAGTCAGTCCTTCAGGTCCTGTATGTCTCCAATGTCAGAGTACAGTGATTTCACTTTGATTAAGCCCAGCAGCACCACTGACTTTAAGGAGGTGATCAGTGTCCTGGATGCGTCTTTACCGGACAGCACCTGGACCTTTGAGAGCCAGCAGGTGAGCAGAAAACGAAAAGGCCATTTGCTAAATTGTGTTTGTAAAAGTTTGATGAACAGAATTTTCCTAATTTTGTTTGTGTGCTGCTTCTAAACAACGAAAACCAAATGTCTCAACTCCAGCAGCGTGGGGTCAACACTGATGTTGTAACTCTTATAACAGACCACATTATATATTTTCTACTCTTATAATCATCACATGGGCCTGTTAAAATAAGTGTCACAATATTCTTAGTAAAAGTAGTCAATAGTAAATAAAGTAGTAAATATGGCAATTACTAGAGTAATAGTAACCCTAACCTATAGTAATAATAAGATAGGGACATTTTCTTTAAAAAAATATATATATTTATATTTCAAATATAATCTTAATTTCATCCTGCACGTCTTCATTTAAAATGTTAATTTAATGTTTTAATGTCCAAGTTATTATTTAAATATTTCTGTCTAACTTTCATCTTTTGTCAATTTACAACTCCAACAATGTTATTTTGTATTGTTTGCAGCAGTTATATTTTAAATCAGTCTGTTCTCAAACACAAATGTGCTCTTTAGTTCGAGCCACATTACTTTGACATTTTTATAGTTGTGATTTATTAGAAAATATTTTCAACAGAACGACTGAACTTTATTACCCAATGAAGTCTGACTCCAGCTTTGCTTTGATGTGCGCTTGGGTTTCGGGGGAAAACCACTTTGGAAACTATGCCCCCCCGCGGTTACAAATGGCATCGCTATTAATTACACCCAGCTCTTACTGCTCAAGGAGCTCTTCATGAAAGTGCGTGTGTGTGTGCGTGTGTGTGTTTATAACAATAAGTTGACATCTACACTCTGAGCAAATCTATTTTTCATTTTCCAAAAAGGGCACTTACAAATATACTTCCTCCTGCTTGTCCACTTGGCATTGTCCTCTCCAACCTCTGAGCTGTGAGACTGGTACTTGCCTCCAGTGCAGCGGAGTGACTGAACAAAGTTTTCAGTGTGTGTGTGTGTGTGTGTGTGTGTGTGTCTGCGTGTGTGAGGGAGTGTGTGTGTGACAGCACTGGTCCAGCCCTGTCCTCCAATGAGATGGGAGGCCTCAGTGGCCTCTCCCCGCCCATGAGGGGAGTGAGGCGGCGGAGACTCAGCAGAGTTTCAGCGGAGACGGAAAATACTTTGATTTTCGCCCTGGGTTTCTCTCTCAAGTCGGCCGTCATGATCACATCAAAACTTCCCATCGCTCTGTTTTTAAAACGGAAATGTTCATGGAGACGGACAGCCTGGTTGTAGAACTACCATGGATACGTTACGGTGAGAGAAGAAGTTAGAAACTTTCCCCGGATCCTCGGAGCGCAGCACAATGGACTCCAGGCAGAGGAAGCGCTCCAGAGGAGGGAGGCTGTGGAGCATTTGCTTGTATCTCGCTGGCCTCTCCTGTGCGTCCGCTCAGCTCAGTTATTCCGTATCGGAGGAACTAAGCCCGGGTTCCGTTGTTGGGAATATCGCAAAAGATTTGGGTCTGACTGCTCAGCGGATTGAACAGAGGAGGCTGCGGGTGGTCTCAGATTCCACAACTCAATACTTTGAGGTAAAGCAGGCGACCGGCGATTTGGTCATCAAACAAATTATAGACAGGGAGCAAATGTGCGAACTGAGTTTAACGTGTACACTCCACCTTCAAATAGTTCTTGATGACCCATTAGAAATCCATCGCGTGGTGGTGGACATTCTGGATGTGAATGACAACGCGCCGCACTTTTCGACCAGCAACATTTCTTTGGAGATATCAGAGGCGGCCGCGCCGGGCACAAGGTTCCGCTTGGAGAGCGCACACGACCCAGACGTGGGGACCAACTCGTTACGCACGTACCATCTGGCAGCAAATGACTTTTTTACTTTGAATGTGGAAACTAAAAGCGACGGCAGCAAGTTTCCAGAGCTCGTGGTGGATAAAGCTCTGGACAGGGAGACGCAGGCCAAGTTTCGCCTGATGCTCACGGCTGTAGATGGGGGTCAGCCGGAGAAATCTGGCTCAACACTTATGCTCATTAAAATTCTGGATGTAAATGACAATGCGCCAGTCTTTGACGAACCAGTGAATAAAGTTAGACTATTAGAAAATGTTGCACAGGGCACTTTAGTCACAAAGTTGAACGCAACTGACGCAGATTCCGGCAACAATGGAGAAATATCTTTTCTTTTTAGTAAATATACACCGGAGCGAGTTCTCAGACTTTTCAGTGTGGATTCTAAAAGCGGGGAGATCCGTGTGAAGGGCGATGTGGACTATGAGAAGGCCATTGCATACCACATCACAGTGCAGGCCAGAGATGGAGGCTCTCCTGCTATGGAGGGCTCATGTAACGTCATAGTGGACATAGTTGATGTGAATGACAACGCACCAGAGGTGACACTGACGTCACTGACTAGTCCTATTAGAGAGGACTCTGCACCAGAGACAGTGATAGCGCTCATCAGTGCGCGGGACCTGGACTCAGGTGTGAATGGAGAGGTTTCATTGACCGTCCAACAAGGTTTGCCATTTAAACTTATTTCAGCCTTTGGGATGCATTACAGCCTCATCACAGCTGGCAACCTGGACCGTGAGACTGTCCCAGAGTACACAGTGGTCATCAGGGCCACTGACGCGGGTTCACCACGCCTTTCATCACAGACAACCTTTGTGGTGGAGCTCTCTGATGTGAATGACAATGCTCCAACTTTCTCTCAGGATTCATACTCTGTGGACATCCCAGAGAACAACGCTCCCAGTGCCCCCATCGTAGCTGTTTCAGCCACTGACCCAGACCTTGGTGACAATGCTCGCATATCGTACTCCATCCTTCCCAGCATGGTCCAGGGTTCATCCATTGCTTCTTATGTCTACATTAACCCAGAGAGTGGTCACATCTACAGCATGCGCTCTCTGGATCATGAACAGCTGAATGCATTTCGGATTGAGGTGCAGGCCCGGGATGCAGGGGTGCCCCCACGGACCGCCAATGTCACTGTGCATGTGTTTGTGGTGGATGTGAATGACAATGCACCAGTGATTGTTCACCCCTCCTACCCAAAAGAGAAAGGATTACAGCTCACTGTGCCCCCATCTGCAGGCCCAGGGCACCTCATAAATAAACTTGTAGGGGTGGATGCAGACAGTGGGCACAATGCATGGCTGTTGTACTCCATAGCCCCGGGACCAAATGCTGGAATGTTTCGTATTGGGCCACACACAGGTGAGCTCCGCACAGCCCGCAAATGGGCCGAGGAGGAAGAAGGCTCAGCCTATGACATTGTGGTCATCATTCAGGACAATGGTGAATCACCAAAGTCTTGTTCTGTGAACATAACAGTAACCGTGGATGAGAAGGGCACAGCCGTTGATGCACCAGCAAGCCCTCGCCACACGCCCTTTTACCACCGCACAGGGATGTCAGACATCACCTTGTACCTTATCATCTCTCTAGCCTGTGTATCAGCTGTCTCCTTCATCACCTTTGTTGCCCTCATGATACGCTGCCTAAGGCACCGGAGCCCAGGCCTGGGAGGCTCTGACTGCTGCTGCTACGACAGCCACAGGTCCAGCCGCTACCATCAGAGGCCCAGCAAGGACCTGCACCTGCAGCTCAACACTGATGGACCCATACGCTATATGGAGGTTGTGGGTGGCTCCCAGGATCCACACACACGCACTTACAGGCCCTGCTACTCCACCTTATCCAGCCGGAGTGACTTTGTATTTATGAAGACACCAATGCTGAGTCACAACAACACACTCAACATGACACTCAGCAGGAAGCACCTTATGAACTCAGTCAATGAGGTGAGGGCTCAAGTTGGAGAGAGGGAGTGCATTGGTTGAATTTGCAAAGGTGTGGCCTAACAAATACAGGTGTTTCAGTTTGGATGTATATGGATTTTGGAGAAGCTTGTGGATGTGTGGGTTGTGGAGTATCTAAAAACGTCACATCATATTTTTATCAGTTTGGATGCTTGGAACCCTGACAGTAGAGTACTAACCTACATTTTCACAGTCACGCAGCTCTACAGTATTTTATCTGTATTTTACCTTTTACGTGGAGAGAAAGCTCTTAAGGATTCTACATGGCAGATTTGGGCAGAGAGAAGTATCATTTAATATTTAATGTTACCCGATGCTGGGAAATGAGGTCTTTCCCTTCCAGTAACTAAACTGGCAGAGAAGAACTGTTTTTTATGGAAAAGATGCAGATTGAGTGGAATATGCTGAAAGAACGTCGAAGGAGATCGCTGAAGAAATGGTAAAGGAAGAGGAAAAGGGGAACATAAGTGCTTCTAGCAGATGGAGAGGTGGAGACAACAGATGAAAATAGGTCCTGCAGTGTTGGCTCAGTGGAATAGCTGGGAGACTGAGGGGAACAGGATGACAGGGGGAGAGATGGGAGGGGGTAGAGGGAGAGGAAAAGGGCCAAGGAACGAAAATGGTGAGAGGGGTGGGGGGAGAGAGTCAAAGAATAAAGTGGTGGCTGAAAAACAGGAATCCATTGGGTCAGTGGCCTGACCCCTGACTTCCTGTTGTCCTCTGAACTTTTGGTTATCGGTTCCAGGACTCAGCATCGCATGAGTGTGGAGTTCCCGTTCCTAATTATCATTTTTTGATCCTCCTTTCAATGTGTTCAGTGTTGGGTGTGAAGGACGGCTGACCAGATAATGACCACATGTCAGCTTTAGAAAATGGCTGACAGTGCTCTCACCAGGATGAGTCATTTTAATGGAATTCAATTGAAAAAAAAAAAAAAGGTTTTTGTCATCCTTAATCCATCCATCCTTAATCATGTTGTATGTAATGAGGAGTTGATGATTGAAGGTTGTTATTTTTCTCTGGTGTTTTGATGGTAACTGTTCCTTCTCCGCACTTTACCCTTTATATCATCTAATTCTTGTTCTCGTGTGTCTGTGTAACATAGATTCACTCTCTGCATTGAATCGGTTTGTCCCTGAGGTCAGCAGGATGCCATCTGTCTCTCTGCTCTAGTGACACGTGTGCAAAGAGGACAACAGAGAAAAAGAGGTGGAGGAAGATAGATAAAGGATGGCTTTTAACACGTGTGCCACAGCAACAGACGGCACAGGCTCTAATGGCTTTAGAGCTGTAGCTATCACTGTGAGGGTTTATGTGCCTATGCGAGAGATTGTGTGTAAAAGGCAGAAGGAGTACTCCAGTAGTGTGTAATTTTAGCAGGACCCTGGGGCCATCAAGCCTTCCCCTGCCCTTCTTTTTTACCCTCTATTCATTTGCAGTGTACTGTTTTTGCACACTCTATTTAAATGTGTGCTAACAGGGAAAGTTTGAGAAAAAGTCCGTTTTATGTTTCTTCCCCTGAAGCCAATTCACAGCTATTTATTTCCAATTGGCAAATCTTTGTATTTTAAAGCAATAGTCTCATGATCAGTTTGGGACTCAGTAACACGCCACGTAATCCTGATGTCACGAGTCTGCCACACTATTTTAGTTCAATGGGATCATTTCTTTTCAAATGATCACTTTTTCTCACAGTATGAACATTTCCATAATCATGAGTTTTTTCGGTCTTGGGAGTCTGGGGGAGTTTATGAGGGTTGGCACGTGCACAGAGTGAGGCCGGGTGTTTTGTAAATATGCTTTTTATGGATGATAAAAGCTGCACATGTGACAAACTGGCTCATGCGGTTCAGTGAAACTGTCCACAAGGGTTTTGTCAATTGAGTCATGATGTTTGTCTAGGCGAAAAGAAGATTAAAACCAGGAAGTGCATATTGTGCTTTTCTCTAGTCAGTCCTGAGGTTTTTCTCTTATAAGGGATAAATAGTATAATCCTGCATTTTAGAGAGTACATATTTCCACTAGCCTAATAATTTGCTGAGCATTAAACAACACAATCTTTGGCAAAAATGTGAGATGGCTGTGAAACAACATGAGGGAGTGAATGTGCCTCTATGTATTGAGGGTTATATGGTGTGCATGTGTGTGATAAAGATTATCAGAGCAACAGAATAGAAACAACTTCCTCTTTTCAAACAGCACCAGGTGCAGTCCAGCCAGCCATGGGTCTTTTAACACCAATTCAATTTGTGTGTGTTAGGAAACTGGATCAAAGTGCACCAGGTGGTACAACACCGTTTCTCATTTGTACACCTGGATAACTATGTTTGTGTCATGAAAGAAGAAGTGGTTAGCTAGTGACCCAGATGTTTTCAGAAGTTTCACATTCACGTGCTTACATACATGCTGGATGGAGTCCAGATGTTCCTGTGATCGGTCCAGCTTATTCCCCCCTGATGAATCCAGTGCTCATATAATGAATATCCATCTCATCTCTGAAGATGATAGTGTTTCATCCAACACACATTATGGTGCAGGAGCTAAGGAGCTCAGTCCAGTTGTAATTCACCTAAAGAACCCACAAAGCCCTTTAGTTCAGTTTCATGATGTAAGGAAAGCAGACTGACAGCGTGTAAAGCTTCCAGACTGACATGAAAGTCTAACAATTGGCCCACAGAGCTGTAATCCCTTCATCTCTCTGCACTGGCCGAGCGTGCCTGGGCGTCTGTCGGACCTTCTATCTCTTTCTCTCACATCGTGGCATTTTGAAAACCTTCATCTGTATTTAGAGATCAACTCATTTAGGAGACAATGTAATAAATAAAACAAACAGCGCTATAGATGCTCAGATAATTGGAGCTAAAGTCAATTAGATTTTGATCCCTTCATGTCATTAAACCTGGCTTGGGATTTGTTTTCCCTAGAAACCATTGTTGTCTGAACCAGCTCACCTTAAAAACTGAGAACTCTTAACTGTTTGAAAATCCCTCATTCAGAGTTTTTCCTTGAGCAGAAAATAGAAGCATTCTGTCACCTGCCTGTCATAATGACACACATAGCACATCAATTGTTTAACTTAAGCCAGAAGTGGGGCCCAACACTCAAACACCATCTATTCCCATATGCTTCATATACCTGCAGTGGGATCTGACCTTGGAAAGGACGAGTCTGTGTCTGCGTGTAGAGAACGAGTCACACAGCTGGAATGCTGGGCCTCTCTGTGGATGTTAACCTCCATGTGCCAATGTTTTTTTCCCCAAAGACAGACTCATATGGCCACACACACATAGTCAACTCTAAAGTCCAATTTTCTACTCTAAATGTCGACCAAGCTCTGCTTTGAAGAAGAGTTCAAATACGTCCTCCTCTTCTCAGCCTGGTCCACTATGATTTCCTGTTGTAACAACAACAACTTGTGAGTTCTGGCTTTGCAGTTTGTTATGAGGAAGAGGGTGAGCAGATGTCTTCTCTTCATCTGACTATTTTCTTTCCTCTCAAGTGTTGGAAGACTTGATTAATTGTATTGGTGATCATCAAGGAGAAACAAGTTCTTTGCAGATTTGATCAAATTTGACTCAACACTGGAAGAATTATAGGGTTATTCAATATTGTATTATTGAACACTGAATGCTATTCAATTCCCTCATTTCTTTACATTCACACTCCCTCTAGCACTCTGTGGTGTCAGTCACAGGTCCATAGTAGACAGTGCGTTCTTTCATTCCTCTGAATCTGCTGTAATTCCATTTTTAATGGGGCAGTCACTTGTTTTGTCTTTTTCCCCCTCGTCTATTAGATGCTTCAGTTATGTTAGTCACCAGTTTACTCCACAATACTCTTCCTTTAGCGTAGGTATTTTTCCTTTCCCTGTGTTCTCTCCCATTCTTTTGCTCCTATCGATGATACTCTTGGGTACAACTGCTCTTTCAATAATGCAGCACATCATCCTGCTGGCCTCTCTCTCAGGGGAGCTCTTGTGTCGATTAGGCGGCAGAATCTGGAGCCGAGCCAAGGTTCTATTCACCGCATCAGTGCACAACAAGAGAGTCTGAGAGAGAGGGAAAGAGCCAGAGAGATGGAAAAGACATGGTGACATGGTCAGTGAGGTAGAGATGGACAAGAGTGCAATGGCCTTAAAAACATTTATAGAGAGAAGCTGCTGCTCCATCATCATTGCCTTATTTCCATGACATTTAGATATCAAAACAAAAAAAACAGGATTATATTTCAAGGACTCTCCCTGCCTTCATTATCTATTAAAAGACTGTTTATAAATAACCCCTCAGCTTACAGCGTTGCAAGCTAACCAATTTGTAAAACAAGTTGCTGATATGTCGGAGTGACAGTTTTATTTTGTCAGCTTTTTTCCACTTGTAATCATTTGAATGTATTTCCAGCCAATCTTTGTGTGTTCGTTCATCCAGTGAGAGAATTTCTTTTAGATACAAGTATCACAAACGTCCCATTTCATCTTCTGACTCCACTGCTTATTAAAATGTTATTAACCGTTTGCTCACATATGTGACTATCTGCATTTTGGTTTTAGTTTTGAGTCCAGTTTTATAAGCTTCGTCCCATTTTGCAATTTGTTTGTCTGAGCGCGAGTGTATGTGTGTGTTTGTCTGCGTGTGTGAGTGTGTCTCTGCAGCATTTTATGCTCCACAGCTCTCGGAACAACATGGCTGCCTGAGTACACAGATATTTGTTGCCATCTGTAGCCCTTTGTTGAGCCTTACTGAAACAAAGAGGTTTTCTAAATCACAGCCTGACACACAACAGGATGCACTCAGACATAAACACCCTCAACACACAGTTGTGTCAGCCACAAAACAACATCTTATGAACCAAATGGTGCCCCTCAAACGTTCCAGCTGTTGGCTCAGTGTAACACACATCTCATGTTGAATCTTCTGTTCTCTTCCCAGCAAAAACCCCCCAACAATGACTGGCGCTTCACCCAGGGACAGCGACCAGGACCAAGCGGGTGAGTACACTAACACTCGTCCTCACACACTGGTAAAATTCCCATGTTGACATGTTGTTGTGCTGCAAGAGGGAAGCTTATCAGGCAGAGAGAGCGATGAAGGATGGAGAGTAAAATATAGGGTAGTGCTGCAACCATGAGATCCTGCAGGCTACTGATTCAATGAAATATAAATCTTTATATGACACCAAAACACAACGTACATTATCTTTAAGGCACTTTACATACTAAGACTGAAACCTTACAATATTATAGAGAGGAACCCAACAGTCATAATTACACGTCTGACTTTGAATGGCATCAATGTAATTTATTGTTCCATTAATCGTATAATTCTGCTCCTCCAGTTTCTGTTTTATATTCCTGAATGAGCATCTCTGCCGGTTTTCAGGCTGCTTTATAAAATGGCTGCCGCAGCTTCCACTCCCCCCTCCCCCTCCTGTTCCCCTCCTCTCTGCGCTCTCTGAGCCTGTGCGCCATCACTCAGTACTGCTGATGAGGGACTGTGACCAGAGCCAGTGGGGGGATGGGATTGTGTGTTTATCCTTCGCGCTCTCTCTTCATTTTCTGCCATCTGAGGGGTCGTACTGACTCAAATGTAATTTTTCACACCAGTGAATCACCTGGTAAATGACAGCAGACAAACTGTGTTTTTCTCTTTCAGCTGTGTTTTAGTTTTTTTGCCCATGTCACGTGGGCTAGATGCAGTGCCTGCACGAACAGTTTTTCACAATAATGATTGCACAACACCTTCCATGAGACATGGTTTCTCCCTGAAACAGCCTAGCTGAGCCGAGTCAGGAAAATTTTAGACACACACAAGCACAAGCCACTGCAGTTTTAGAAGACAACTGGGATTATGGCATCTCTGGTATTTTCAATTGATTTAGCAGACGCACATATTTTCCACAGAGCTCTAGAGCAACAATATAATAACATTTTCATGAATACTGCCCCCCCCAACCTTCAGAAAAAAACAAAATGGTTATTTCAGACTGTATAACTTGTTGTGTTTTTAGTCCCCACATGCCATACGGTACACACATACGATGGACGCCGAACACTGGGAAAAGGTACTAATTTAGACGTAGAAATTGTCTGGTCTCTTTCTGCCCTTATTAGCTGATCAGTGTTCACTTTTATGAAGTCCCTGTTTGGTGAGAGAGGGGCCTGATCAGCTGATGATGGCAGACAGTGGCTGAAATCTGGGTAGTGCACTGCAGTTGCGTGCTGTGCTGTGTGTAGATGTACCTAACCCATAGCTTCTGTTAGTCTCCCTAAAAGTTTGATGGGGTTTGTTGATCAATGTGCATAGGCCACAATGCCTGCTGTGGCGTAGAAAGGATTGTGACACTTTTGATTTTGCGTGCAGTGTTTTGTAGATTTTTGCTATGCCTTGTATTTGTGTGCTATAAATATATAGTCATTACAGTCTGAGAGCTCCTGCTTTTCTCCCTCCAGGGAACTGGCTTCCCCATAAAGTGTTGCCTTTGTTGTGTGTCTGTGATGGTTGTAGCTCAACATCACCACATGTGGCTTTTTCATGTGATTTATCAACTGGACTACAAAAGTTGGACACAATGACAACAGTATTTTCATGACTGATTTATTTAAAACACCTGTTAGAGGGTGAAAAGTTCCTTAATGGAGGAAGTAGCACATTCCATTCGACTCTTGAAGTCAATGTGCAGATGAGACAAACGTCACCACGGGACTCTGTATCGTCTTAAATTAAGTTAGAAGTTACATTGTTCTCTGCAAAACATCAAGGAGAGTTAAAACATGTCACACAAGTTTGCAGAGGAAAACTGATCGCAATGTCTGGTCAACCAAGGACATCCCTCTGGACCACAGTTCACATCTTAACCACAGGAAGTGATACTCCTAACCACAGGAAGCAGTTAAAACAACCACAGGATGTGATAAGCACAGGGAGACGCTAATTTGGCACAAATGAAGTGTTCCTTTTTATCTTAACTGAGGTAAAGAGGCACAAAATGGCAGCTATACTGACTGTGCTCTTACCCTGCAGCCTGCGTCTCATTGGCTGCCTGGCACAGGACGTACATGTTTCTCTCCCTTGGTCTTTCTCTGGCACTGAAGGGAAAGCCACTTCAGAGTTCTGGCAGTGCAATCTGGCAACCTGCTCTCGAGCAGAGCCCAGTTTTTTGTGTCAGAATTCCCTTTTTCACTTTTTTCTCCTTATTGTGTCCTTTACTCTCTTGATTCCCTTGAGCAGACCAATTTGTCCAAAGGGTTTTTAAGTTAGAAAGGAGAGCTTCTCTCTCCACACTATAGATGTACGTGCATTCTTGTTTTCCTCTTGTATTACTGAAGCCTTGATTTGTCAGACATGAGACTTCAGTGTCAGCGTAGACCCTGATGTGTCACTGACTGTCCTTTCTGGAGCTGTACACTCCACCAGAACCTTTTACCCATATGCCTGTGTCAAATAACCAATGTTTTTCAACACATAGACACATGCATAATTCAGCATATTGAGAGAGAGAGTAGTTAAAACCATGTATGTTGTTTTTGTCCTCATAAATCTGAACATGCAGCAGCATAGCATGAAGATAACATACTGCAGTGTTATTGCAAACTAAAGCCACCATCTAAAAATCCAAAGTTAGAGCTTTTTGGGAACAGAGGCATGGCCGTGATTAAAGCACTGACCTAGTTATCAGCTGTGGGGCTTGTGCTGCTGTGTCATAAGTGGGGGAAAGGAAATAAGTAGGTGCGTATAAAAGATCGCAGGTCCTATCCTTTGTTTCTCCCACATGCAAATTGCAGACTTTAAATAAACATGCCTTTGAAGGTGAAGTTTACACAGATGGAAATGTTCAGTGCTCACTGAGCACTGCATGTGTGCCTTTATGCAGACAACTATTTCCTTTATAAAGGTGGGATCATTAAATATTCAATCGGATTTACTAGACGGCACAGCGCTCCCGGTCATAATGGAGAGAGTGGTTACTGTGTGTGTCTGTGTGCGGGCACAATAGTGTGTTTAGAAAAAGTGCGTGTTTGTTTGTGACAGACCTCGTTGTGTAACTTAACATCCTCCCTGTTATCCAGTTCTCCTCAGGCTGTGTACTTCACCGTCAGCTGCTTTGCCTTGACATCATAAACCACCAACTGTCAATCCAACAAGCTCAACATACACACACATGCACACAGTGTAGAGAACAAACCATGAATTAATTACAATTCTTTTCGCCACAGGGCGACTGGAGGACCTGAGGTTGCCATGGGAACTGGTCCCTGGCCCCAGCCCCCTACTGAAGCCGAGCAGCTCCAGGCTCTGATGGCTGCAGCGAACGGTGAGTCCTATACCTCGTCACCTTTCCCTTCCCTCCTACCAACTCATCTTCTTCTATTCTAGCTCTGTTCTTTTTTATTTGGAGGAAACTCACTCACTGTTAAAGTTCCCTCTGTCCACGTGATTGTTTCCATGAAGTCAGAATGTAAACGTAGCTACCTGCACTTCTTCAGATAAACAGTACACAGTGGATGTGTTGAATTCAATAACATGACAGAGATGCATGTTTCTACTGTAACACACTGATCACATGCACAGTGTTTTTCTCATAAGCAGCAGGCTTAGGGCCACTCGTCTGCTCCTGCAGTGACTGCATAACCAGCGCACGCACACACACTCACACACAGTGAGTCATCTCTGGACTGTTACTGTGGTAATCACATGGAAAAATACACATGAAAGCAGCCACTGAATATAGTGACACAAACACAAAATAGCCCAAAAAATGGTGGAAGGACAAAGATTTATTGCCAAATGCACTCAAGTCATTGTTTCCACTGTTATTTTATCCTATTGACACATCACACACACACACACACACACACACACACACACACACACACACACACACACACACACACACACACACACACCCTGTCCTCCCCCTGGACACTGCACCGGATGGTGTGTGGAATTTTTCCATTGCAGCGAACAGAGGGAGAAAATGCTCTCACCCGCGCCGACTGATAATGTCAGCACAAAGTTAGAACAAACAGTTTGTGTCGTCAGGAAAGAAGGAACAAACGGTGCATGTGATAAATACTGAAGGTCATCTCTCCTCTACAGTTAATGACACTGCGTTGATAAGGTTGATGCTTTAGGAATCTCACAATCGGAGCACTGAGTCAGAGCAGAAGAGAGTTTAAACACTGTGTTGTCAGTGTGAAGCCGGTGAAAATATCTGTTTTTTGGCAGTTTTCACGTACGTGTTTATATAGGCTGAGAGGAACTACAGGATGGGGGAGGGAACGTTTGTGTCTCTGGCTCTGCAATGCAGGGGCTGTGGGAGAATTATGAGCTGAGCAGCTACGTCACTCGCACACTGGCTCAGAGCATGCATGACAGAGAAGCAGAAACACATGAGTATACTAGGGAGACAGTTTAATCATTCATTTAAAACAAATCTGCACACCATGAACATTTTTTCTCACCATCTCCTCTGCCTCTTTTGTTCATGTTTTTCTTTTCTACTCACTGACCAAAATCTAATGTTCACACCCTTTAATCCACAGCCTTATTCCTCATAGATTATTTAATAGTAATATGTTTTAGCTCTTTTCATGACCTGTTTTTAATTCACCACCTCTGTGTAACACTGTCAAACTAAAATCCTTCAATTTCTTGATGTCTAACAAGTTTCATTCCTTTCTCCTTCTCCCTCCTCACCCCTTATCCCCCCACTGTGTCTCTCTTCCCCCCAGAAGTGAGTGAGGCTACGGCCACCCTGGGGCCTGGCACCATGGGCCTTAGCACCCGCTACAGCCCCCAGTTCACTCTGCAGCATGTCCCTGACTACCGCCAGAACGTCTACATCCCCGGCAGCACGGCCACCCTCACTTCCAACCCCCAGCAGCAGCAGGCCACCGCCCAGCAGGCCGCCCAGCAGGCGCTTCCTCCGCCCCAGGCCTCAGCCCAGCCCGAGCCCCCCAAGGCCGCCCAGACCCCTGCCTCCAAGAAGAAGTCCACCAAGAAGGAGAAGAAGTAGATCTGGATGGAGAGAGGAGGAGGAGGAGGAATGATAAACCCGGCCTGATCTGATGAGAAATTCAACCCCCCATACCCTCCCATTAGGTATCTGACTGTCACTGTCACTCATGCTAGCCACGGTCTAAATATTGAGAGCAAATCAGTTTAGGCCGCATGGACGATGTTGATGGTTCTTTGACAGAGTGTCTTGAAGAATCTGAATGTGTTGAAGGCTGTTGATGGTGTTGATAACCCGTGCTGTGCTAAAGGTCTAGTATTGCTCCTGTAATCTTTGTTGGTAGATATTTTTGGCAGGGTATGGGGGGTTGTTGTGATTTTTTTTTTCCTTTTGGCAAAATCAAATGAACTTGGACAAAGAGATTCAGTGTAACGAACCTTGCTGGGATGACAAGGCTAATCGCAGTGATGTATTAAGAGATGAAATGTTGATGTCTTTCATGTTGGATTTATTGTTCTTTCCTGGTGGTGGAGAGTTGTAAAGTACGCTAGTTGCCATCCATTAGATTCCTATATAGGATCAGCCTTACAGGGTCCTAAAGCATAAGTCCTGTGGATATAAGGCTGTTGTTCGACAGGTATTACAAACTCTTCTGCATGCTCTTTAAGGTTCAAACCACATATTCTAGTTTAGAGTTACAAACTATGCATTGCAAAAGCAAAGGGGAGGACAACAGGAGTCTATTATCCTCCCTTCAATCGCAGGTCAACATAATGCACATGTAGCATTTATTTGACACAAAATGAAAATTACTTTTGTAATCATAGTTTAAAAAAAGATACGATTTTAATCTCCTGTTATTTTTTATGACCTGAGCATGCACCCAGAGGACGGGCCGGTAGAGGGTGGAGAGGCACGGCATTGTTTAACGGAGTCACGAGCTGTGCTGTCCGTGCAGGTGGTGTAACAGCAGGGCCCCGGCTTCTGGTGTAACACGTCCAGATGGGCACAGACATGTCCTGCACCCTGTACCGTCCCCTCTTCCTACCCAGCTCGTGTCCTCCCCTCACTCACTGCCCCACGTTGAGAGCCAAACAAAGTGAAATGCACTGTTCGTATTCTGAAGATGAGATGCTGTAGGGGGTAGGATATCACTTTGGTCGTTAAGGAAAGCATAGATGTGGTGAACTTAAGTGCTTAGGTGTTTCTAGACACTTTGCAGGCCTCTAGGGCCAGGGCGGAGTATTTTCCCTCACTTTCCTAAAGTGCTGAAGAAACGTATTGATGTGACACAGTAACACGCTTTTTTTTCTTTGGGAGATAATGATTCAATAGCATAGAGGAATTGTTTGTATAAGAAATGAAATCGTCTTTACGTTGCCGTCCATCTGTCTGTCAGGGCCCTGGCCAGCCATACAACTGCATGAGGAAAGGCAGCTTGCACGCTGGTTCGGGGGGAGTAGAGATGGGGTGTTGTGGTGAAGGGTACACAGACTGAGGTGGCACCATTACACCAACCAAGAGGGTGGGGAACAACCTTGGCTCTACCCACTGAATGTACAGAGGAACCACTGTTGACCCGCCCAACCCGTAAACTTTCTCTAATGCACTGACCCAGGTAGAGGTCAACAGAGCCAGGCACAGCTGTCCCTGTAGGGGAGGAGACACCACTCCAGAGCCCTTTGAAACATCCTTCTCCACTGAAAAGGAACCTCAGCCTCTGTACCGCTCACCTCTCCCCTCCACTCCCCGGCCCTGTGAGGCTCTTCCCACTGTAAATAAACACAAGTCCTGTCGATGGTATGAGCCAGTTGTTTGTATAGTAGGGACCACGTCCAACATTTTCAAAATAAAAGTCCCTCTCCACAAGGCGTGGCTTACTACTGGAATGTGTTGCATTTTGTTTTTCAAGAAAAATAAGAAAAACCACGGTTTAAAAAAAAAAAATCAATAATGAATAAAAAATCTGAGATGTTCTTCAACAGTTTGTGTTGCAATGTAGTAACTAAGCACCATGGAAGCCAACTAACTCTTCAGTGTAAATAATGAATTAAAGATAACTTTAGATAAGTAAACAAAGTGACACACGTAGACTAGTTAACTTGTGATATGTGTTGCGCATATTTTTGTGTTCATTTTCTCTCTACTATCTTTTATCACCCTGTAAAGAAACAAAACAAAAAAATATGGAAAATGTTTCTATCCTTCTGTAACCTCTTAATGTTCTTTTGCGGTGATTTTATCTCGTGCATTTGTGAAAGAATGCCTCTCATTCTCTCTTTCTGTCCATATGAACAAATGATTATAAATATTATATATGTGTATGTCCGTCCGCTGCTGAATTAATACTGCTCTATCCTGCTGTATTATCTTTCTTATCAAATGCTTAGCCCCCACGCTACCCCTGTGTTACTCTCTTATTTTTATGCTAATATTTATATTGCTGTTTTATTTTCTCTTGGACACTGACATTTCAAATAAAAAGATTCTGAAATCATTTAAGAAATTATTGTCTGTGTCATCTGTTTTAAGCTAATAATTATATTTCTTCTTTCTTAACTGCTGTTTAGCAATCTAACTTTGTGTGTACCTTTACATTGCTAGTAAAACTCAGCTTTGAAAAGTATTATGTGCTGCAAAATCCAGTTTTCTGTACATTCAAATCTGTGTTATACCTTTATGTCAGTGTGACCCAAGTTCAGCAGCACTGCGGCTCTTCTAATGAAGCTTTACTCCTGGTCCAGTTCATGTGTTCTTTGTGTCTGTGCAGAGGCAGATAGAGAGTCAGTGTAAGTTCAAAGTAACACATGCTTCTTAACTCCTTTTTGATTACATGATAAATTGAAGTAAATGATTCTAATGATAAAATGATCCAAATACAAAACTAGAATGACACTCAGAGCACATATACCTCCACCACAGCCCAACAGTCACCTTGAAATTATACATACTTAAATTGTTCAGTCTCTTAAAGATGCTTGATTTTCTTCATTAAGGTTCCTGTATTATTTCTTTAGAAATACCCCAAAATGTGGAAAAAAGTCCCTCTCATAACATTAAAGAGAAAAGAATTCCTGTATCTGCAGAAATGCGTCATGGTTTCTTCTCTGACCCAGACTGCGACCCTGACTGCATCCTTCCACCAAATTCAGTCCAGTCGTATTAACATAACCCCTCTAAGTTACAACAAACAACAGCTGATGAAAACAGCAGAGGTAATTATCTGTATATATCAAAGTATTTAATTAAATTCCCATTTTAAACGGCACTGCAGCAAGAAAAACAATTTAATAAAAAACATTATCCAGGAAAAAGAGTGATACTAATAACCTACAATTTTGACAAAGAAAAGCTTTAAGCACATATAACATTGAAAAGATGCTACCACTCTTGTTGAGTATAAGTATGCATGTTAGCCAAGTTGTTTACATAAGGAATTCACCTCCAACCCTTTTTTTCTTGGGCAATTATCAAAATAAAAAAAAAATAAATAAATAAAACGTTATTTAGGTAAAATTTGTTCACATTTAAAAAACTCATTCCGAGTAATCTCACTTTCTCCTGCTTCATCTCATCGTACCAAGGCTCATTTTTCCACATGGAGACTTCAGGGGACACGGTGGCCTTCTTAGGCTCTTTGTGCCTTTCATGAGGTCTTACACAATAACATACGTCCCTATAAATAGCCCATTGGAGACGTCACCGAGCAAAACAAAAGGAGCAGCCTTTAACTCACTGCTGCAGATGTTGGGGGATGGAAGCAGTGACTGCTGAGCTGGAGGGATGGAGATGATGAGAGTGTTGCTCATAATTCAGACATGTTGTCCATTCAAATGTCAGCGAACGCAGGTTTCCTACGTTTATGTTCCTGAACATGACACAAGAACAGCAGCTATGAGACATCTGAGTGCACACTTGAATAAAGATGCTTTCATTCATGTTAAATTCTTACCATTTCCCCTTTTTAGATTTAATAAAACCCTTTTTAACTATCAAACACTACACACTCACATGCCCAAGATGGCTGACTCCTCTCCTACCCTTCTCTTGTTGTATTATGTGGTTGCTACAGCAACTGTCAGCCCCAGCGCTGGATGCTTTTCCTCGTATCCACATGTTCATTACAGATCTATGCAGTGGACAGTACTGGCTCGGCTCGGGGTGGGGGGGCTGGCTGAGCTGAATGACCTGCGGGAGCACAAAGTTATTTGTCAAACCACAGAGAGAGACGTAATCAGGAAACATGTCAGAGCCCAGCAGAAAGAATCCCACAAAGACACAAGAGGATGAGTCAGAGGTAAAAACACACAGTGGGTTTCCTCCACTTTGATTCATTCAAGATTTACAGGAGGAGTATACGATTCTAATTTTGGTCAACAATCAACGGAAGCTGAAATATTATTCATGTGGGTATATAATGCACACTGTGTACTGTTAGGCTTTAAAATAACTTTAGAGCCACTTTGTCAGCTGATGTCTCTCATCCTGTGACTCACAGAGGCTCCTGATGTCCTCACTGTCCCCATGTGTCACCCATTTCCCGCAGGGGAGACCCAACAGAATGGGGAGATTGTTCTTTTATTGCCCACCCCCTCTATCTCGCTTAATTAAGCACATTCCTGCTGATTATACACACAGAGAGATATGCACAATAGACTGTGACAGTAACACACAGGCAAGAGCCTTCAAACCGGAGATATATAGCAGGGTCCTTCCAGTGAGGGGAAGCAGTAGCAGACTGGAACTTGACAATAGACAGCCTGTGTGCGGTAATAACATTAGTAAACCAGCCTGCACATAAGACAGATAACAGGCGTCCTCACATCCTGAGTGTGACACATGTACACTCATTCAGGCAAGTTGGGCGGCCCACAGACACAATTACATAAACGTGATCAGTCGGACATTCAAACACAGCTCTCAAATTTCTTGAGCAGCCTCAAAATCAAATTTATCCTAGTTACACTAAGATCAGTGGGAGGGAAAGCAGCGCTGCCTCTCCTCCCTCTCAGCGTGAGAGCTGAACTTCCAGCGAGAGGAAACGAGGATCTGGTTTCAGTCTGAGGAGGATCACCTCTGATCCATGTGTGAAAAGAGCAGGACGTGACGCAACAGGCCACATGTGGCGGGACAGGAAGTGAGTTTCAGCGCCTCTTTTACTCTTTTTTTCCCCTCTCAATAGTCCAAGCAAGGGGAAATAACCCTCCCCCTCATCCTCCTTCACTGACTTCCTCTCTATTCCCCCCTCTATTCCCTCCTTCCTCTCATCCTGCAGCTGTCTCTGCAGTGTGCCGGGTCACCACATGTTGGAGGACAGAGCTCTTCTCTGTGGATTCACACACTGAAGGATAAATACCAGCTTAATCTGGACATTAGTGTGAATCTGGGATGAAGTGCACATACATTCACTAAGCCACAGTCAACTTAAGCAGGGTCTCAATCCAAGTGACCGACTTAATGGAGAGACCCAGAAACAGGCAGCAGTGAGTTAATGCAGTGCAGAGACAGAGACTCTCCTCTTGTTTGGGATGGATGTTCTCCATAAAATATTAACAGGGAGAGAAAGGAATGGAATCTTTTTTTCCTGTTGGCTCACTCCTCCAGCTCCAAAAATAAACCCTGACTGTCCTGCACATGCACAGTGTCGAACATGTTCAACCATCTGCCTCTGAACACATGATATTTCTAACATTAAGTCAAAAAAAGGACTGTTTGCATCATCTGAGAGGAATGTGCTCATCAGATAGGGTCAACAGGGAGCTCAGTCGTCTTTGGCTGAAAGAAGAAGCAGGAGCACTGGAGCCTGAGCGTTGCTGAGGCTAACACTACCCTGATTTAAAGAGACACAGTAATGTGCTGGCTCGGCTAAATCACAGAGATGGATCTGTAGCAATGTGGAAGAAGAAGAGGAAGAACACAAAGCCCCCTTTCAAGGCAGCAAACTCCTTTTTTTCTTATTCTGAAAAGTCTCCCTCTCTCTCTCTCCTGCTCCATCTTCTTTGCCAAGAGCTCTCGCGCCTGTTGTCTCAGCTGGGAGGATGGAAATCAGACAGGGGGGAGATAGGAATGAAGGGGAGAGACAGAGGGAGGGACAGTGAGGGTTGGATTTAGAGGGATAATATCTTGGTTAAGATTTGTCTACAGTGAGGGATGGAGGGAGAGAAGAGGAGAGGGTGTCACTTTACAGGTTTTGAGTCAAAGGTCAAGAGTGTAAAAACAAACAGCTGCAGTTCAGTCAAGTTACTTGACTATAGTGGTTTCAATTCTCTCAGCACGATGGAGCAATATATGATTTTAAAGAGATCAAAAGCTTCCATCTGGTGCAATGTGGTTTGGGGGCATCATCTACCCCCACCCTGTCTCCACACACACGCACACACACACACACACACACAACACACACATGAAAAAAACATTCAACCATAACCCAAATCCCTCTTTAAAAGCCTTACACCCTATAAGTACCCCATCCCCCCGTATACAGCACTCACATACAGCTGCCACACCCCCAGCACAGCACAGAGCATCTAATTCATTTCCTCCAACGCTGCGGTTGTCATGGAAACATAAAATTCCCCATTGGAGTGAGGAGAGAAGTAGGGAGTGCAGTGGAAAACCAGCGGATAAAATGTGAGGATGCGACATAAAAAGACAAAGAGGCAAAAGAAAGTTGTGCTTTACGTGTGTGTGTGTGTGTGTGTCTACATGTCATTGCATACAAAGGATGTTGTCTTGCTTGTGTGACATTTTGTCCGTGCCATGACATTCACTGGGAAAGTGTGTGTGTGTGCACGTTCTGAGGCGTCGGACACATTATGAATGTGAAACCCCTCACACATGCAGACACTGACACAGAGGCATGTCGACAACTCAGCACCATGGCGACAGGTGTTGCCGCGGAAATGGTGCAGCTGCTGCATGGATATTTCAGGCTAATCAGCGTATCCCCTCTGCCTCCCCCCCACCCTCCTTACTGTGCTCTGCTCCGTTCCCTGGACCAACACACCCCTGATCATAATGGAGGCTGGAATGCAAACTTTGAGGGGGAGTCAATCTTACACATACAACTGTGTGTACACTGTGTTATTACATATTCAGCTGTTTGATTAAAAAAAACTGACTCAGAGGTAATCATTTTCAAATCAATCAATCATGTGAAAAGTCTTCAACTACCCTGCTCTCATGAAAATAAAACTTTGAGGAAATAGCCCTTTAATCCCCCAGCCATCCTCAAAACATGGAAATTTCAGGTGACATAATCAAGAGCTGTAAATTTACCTGGAAAATTCGTTTTTTTGTTCAGTCAATAGTTGGACAGTTTGGGAAAAGCACTTATTTGCTCTGTGTCTGGGAGTTAGATGACAGGATGGATATCATGATATTTGCTGAAGTATGGAGATGGTGCCAGGAGTTGATTAGCATATAGCTTAGCATAAACAGCCAAACTGGTTGTGATCAAAGATTAACAGTCCAACTTTCAATACCCCTGAAGACAAACAGAAATTT